AATCATATCACACTTAAAAAGGCAGGGCTATTTGGTAAAACGGAAAGCCCATATTTAATTCTACCAAATCAATCTATGATGGTTCAGCATGTGGATAGAGGTCATGTGTAAATGATCCCTGCATTTCCCCAAACACTCTTCTCTTCACTGAACTCCGGACATTAAGAATAAAATATACGCCGGACATTAAGAATAAAAAATATTAAAGCTTACAATAACAAGATAAAACAGTGATCAAGGCCCGTGTTTAAAACAAGTGACTATTCCAAAATCACTAAGCTGTAAATATGAATTCACACTGAACAACCTGCAAATGCCAGAATCTAGATAATATTTTATGATTCTAGATCAAGAATTTATGATTTCTGATTTGGGGCACATTTTCTGTGAATAATTATAGCTTTTTTAAAAAGATTGATTTTATTAGATACATTATTACAGAGAGAAGGAGAGACCAAGAAAGATCTTTGATCTGCTGACTCAATCCCCAAAATGGCCACAATGGCCAGAACTGAGCCAATCCAAAGCCAGAAGCTTCTTGGTTTCCCAAGCAGGTGTAGGATTCCGAGGCTTTGGACCATCCTCTGCTTCTTTCCCAGGACACAAAGTGTTGAATGGGGAGTGAATCAGCTGAAACAAGAACTGCCACCCATATGGATAATAGAACTAGGAGGTGGTGAAGGATTAGCTAGTTGCGTTAATTTTCAAGTCTTAGGAACTTGGCAATAAACAAAGATACAACTTCACAGACTTTTTCTACTTTCTTTTGATTTCTAGGTCTGTAACTCCACCATATTCAACCCTCCAGCTACACACACATACACACACACACACACGTTGATTCAGGAGTTTGTCATTGAGACTTAAGATTTCCTTGATATAGTTATGAAAGTAGCCTGAAATAAAATCTCTTTGATCTATGTAAAACATATCTATAAAATTATTTTATAATATTTATACATATGTATAATTTTTAAATATTCTATTTGAAAGTCAGATTTTACAGAGAGGGGAGGAGAGATAGAGAGAAGTTCCTCCATCCGCATGTTCGCTCCCCAAATGGTTGCTAGAGCTGAATCAATCTGAAGTCTTAAGCCAGAAGTATTTTTTCCAGGTCTTCTGCTTGGGCACAGAGGTCCAAGAACTTGGGCCATCCCCTACTCTTTCCCAGGTCATAAGAAGGAAGCTGGATCAGAAGTGAAGCTGCTGGAACGCAGATTCCCAGATGGGAAGACAGTGCCACAGAATAAGGTTTAGACTGCTATGCCACCACACTGGCCCCTGTAGAATTCTAAGTGTACAAGTTGTTCATATCTCTGCTATATAACTGTAAAATCTTATAAGAAGCCAATCTCAATATTCTGAAAAAACTAAATACACTTTCAAACTGGTCAGAACTGCATGAGGAAACTCCATGTTCCACCCCAAATTTCCAAATTCATTGCCTTTTCAGATACTGTGACTCATAGATTTAAAACTAATACATTGTGTTTTCAAATATTTTGACTCATAGATTTAAAACAGACAAATGATTCCATTGAGGAGTCATATTTGCTTAGTGTTTATAAGAAACTTTTTAAAATTGTTTGGAGAAGATGAAGTAAAATGTAAGTTTCCTATTAAAGAAAAAAAACACTGTTTGTCTAAACCTAAGTTTGACTCTGGAGTTATTCCATGATTGATGCACATATGCATTCCAAGAAGTAAGTTGTTGCTCTGAATGCATACTAACCATCCTCTCGATTGGCCTTGTTTTACCACATATGCCTGTGTTTCCAAGTGCTGCATGACTTAGTTTTGTTATGTTTGCTTTATGAACATGGCATCATCCTGGAGATGTGCTTCTTCGTTCAGCATTTTGTTTTAGAAGTGCATCCTTGTTATTATTGTGGGTCGCTGTGAGTCTATTTTTCTCATAGTTTTCCATCATAAGAATATGCCACAATGAACATAATTCTTTTTCTTGCGAGGAGAATTTGGATTGCTTCCACCATTTGTCTGCTAGAAACAATGAAGACATAAATGAAGACTCCTTTTCATAAGTGCGTCAGATACTTTAGGATATATCCTTGCAAGATTGATGTCAGAATTCTAGCACTTGTGCCAGTTTCTATCACCAACACTATACAAGATTTCCATGCAACCAAGCTTTTCTAGTACTGTGTATCAATGTCAAACCTTTTAATTTTTGCCAGTCTGGTGGGTGTAACATAGTATTTCATTGTGACTCTTATTTGCAGTTCCCTGATTATGAATCACAGTGATTTTACATGTAATGTGGATTAGAACTTTCCTCTGAAACATTTGTTTCTAATTGTATAACAGTGACTTGATTTTGTAAAATTAAATCACTTTTGCTAATAATTAACTATTTCTAATAAGATGATTCATAAAAAGGAGAGAGTGCATCATTCATTTTAAATATGGAAATATGTGAATTGGATTTCCCAGACTGAAATATGTCTAGAGCCATATTCCCAACACTCTGCTTACCCCTCATCAATTATCTGTCAAAATATGCTTTAAAATTAAAGGGAGATTCAGAGCAAATAATCCCAGTGTATATACATGCTCTGTTAAAAATCTTTTCAGTATTTAAAATAATAGATGCAATTTGCAGTTTTCTACATGTGATTGTGTCACTTATTGCTGTAAAAATATATTTTCTTATACATGAAACATCATATAGTCATGGGAGTTTTCTGTAGGAATTTTTATCAACTTTATTAAAGTTTTATAAAAATTCCCTGTATCCTCTCTTATTGGTTACTGCTCTGATTTGGCATGCCAGTAATGATACTTTTCAAAGGAAGTGGTAGTGAGTATATTCTGATATATACACAGCAATTTCATGAAAATGTGCCACCCTTAATTAACCAAAATAAACACATTACAAAATTTATGTTAGCTATTAGTGTTGTTTACACATTAAAATTATCAAAAGAATAGAACAGTTCTTTCATAGTATTTTCAATTTGGATAAAAAATGAAATTTCTGGTTCTGGCACGATAGCGTAGTGGTTAAAGTCCTTGCCTTGCACATGCCGGAATCCCATATGGGCGCTGGTTCTAATCCTGGCGGCCCTTCTTTCTATCCAGCTCCCTGCCTGTGACCCAGGAAAGCAGTCCAGGACAGCCCAAAGCCTTGGGACCCTGCACCCGCGTGGGAGACCTGGAAGAGCTCCTGGCTCCTGCCTTCAGATTGGCTCAGCTCTAGCCATTGTGGTCACTTGGGGAGAGAACCATCTGACGGAAGATCTTCCTCTCTGTCTTTCCTCCTCTGTGTACATCTGCCTTTCCAATAAAAATAAATAAATCTTTTTTAAAAAAATGAAATTTCTAGAGTCATAGAGGGGGGAAAAAAGCAGTAGTGTTCTTCATGCATTTCTGTTTCTAGTGGCATTTTTCAGCAAGTTGGAAAAATGCTGAAAATAGACTTCAACTTTGAACCTGCAGAATCTCACGGGTATGACAATTGTGCCTGAGGCTGGCAAGAGTTTTTCTTTTTCCAGACTAGTTTTTAGAATAACCAGATTTGGCAGAGTTTTTGCTAAGGTGCAAAAATTCATCTCCACAGTGACCAGATCATGTTCCTAACTGTGCTGTATACCAGACCAGTTGTAATGACAGATTTAAAATGACAGAGATGCAAGAAGGTATACAGTTTACAAAGTAATTTTATAAACAAAATTAAAATGTTTTGGCTTAGAAAACATTTTATTGCAGAGATTAAATAAGCTTTCTTAATGCTTTCAAATGTTCACAGAAGCATTTTGACTGGCTTTGCACAAATCCTTGGCAATAACTCACTGTTGTTAGACACAGCTGCGAAGGAATGTCCCCCATGAGGATACTGTCAGTGACAGCCTTTCAAATCACAGTACGAGTTAATTAAGATAAACATCAAGTTAAAGGCTTTAATTTATAGTTAGGAATACCTTCTGGTGTTCTGTTACACAGGAGAGCCACTATAGAGAATGATAATGCACAATGTTTTCAGAAAAAGATCAAAAGCGTGTTTGAATATTTTTACAATGTAGCAAGTATGTTGCAGGGAATTAAAAATAATTTTCAAAACGCAAATGTCACAATTTTGGAGTTCTATAGTTCTGTTTACTATGTAAATGCGAAAAACTAGTCAGACAAAGTAGCTCAGAGCTGTTTTCAACCTTAGTTTGGATCTGAATAAATATTTCAACCACATTTAGAGGCATTCACTCTTCATCAGTGGAAAACCTTTCTCTGATATTAACCCCCTATATTTAAGTATTCTTGATGTTAATGACTGACATGACCTACCAGCTACTTTCTCTTTTGACTAGGTCGCTGAACACCCTTTGCTCTCATCCATTCAATGGTCCATGTTAATCTTCCTTCTATACTTTGAACCAGTCAAATGATTTCTTCTTATGACTACTGGCCAAATCATCCCTTCTAGAAATGATTTTTCTCCTGAACATTTCATGATGCTCTCCTACATTTCCGGTGTCTTTTCACAAGCCACCTGTTTACAGAGACTCTCCATGACCATTCTGAACAGCCATCACACCTGCGTTCTTCATAGTGCTTGCTATTGCTTATCCTTTAATACGTGTTTGCTTTTTCCCCCCACTTTTAGAATCTCCATGAGCGTAGTGACTGCTATATCCTTAGAACCCATACCAGAACCATGCATCCATGGATTCCACATATTCCTATAGATAAGACCTTGGACAAAGCAAGTCATCTGCCTATATGATCTTGCCCCACTGTGCCCCTTCCTCGGAACCAACACACAATAAGAATAAAATCCATGAGTAATTCCAAGTTAGAATGATGGCCACCTAATAACTGTGCCTGATATATTGTCTCCCAACTTCCCAAATGTCCTCATTTAAAATATATGTGTTTAAGGGTTTGAGAAAGAGACATTACTATAGAACTTTAAGTTCAATTCAGCAAAATTTCATCATGCACTAGTTACATTATCAAATTCACAGGAATGTTCTCTTATCACCCAGGTTGCCACGATGATACACCCACCACTTATATTGCCACCTGTCAAAACTGTGGATGACCCTACTTTCAGGTATTGCACTTTTTACAAAAGAACATTCATGACCTAATGAAATTAACAAGTTGAATTTTCAATAATGTCAAAGAAAATGAAAACACATTAACAATAAATAGTAAGAAATATTTCTGGGGATGGAATAGAAGTAAACTCTAAAGAAAAGAGAGATTACAAGCGAAATTTAACAAAATACTGAAAACGGGGGAAATGCACATGTCTGTGAGACTCACAGAATCACGTCTTTGAGACCTTGGTGATCAGGATAATCCCCCATGTTTTTGTTTCTTTTGCACCAAAATAAACTTCTCTCTTTCTTGTAGATCCCATATTTTTTCCCTTTTGCCAGAGAAGCAGAGATAATATTATCAGTGTAGTGATAATAGGTACTTATATTGTACATGCATGTATTATGGGTATATATTTATAATTTACTATGACTATACATGTGATATGTTGATTGTTATGGAATAATGCAGAGAGGTTGTTCATTTGAACTAAACCCCTTTCATCTATCGAGTGGCCTGTTTCCTGATCCATGTCATCATTGTTATAGTCTAATAAACATGTAAACTTTCCCATAACTACAATGTAAAACAATACTTATAGCTAATTTGTTTTACTATTTAAAGTTATTTTAAGTACTTTTGTTAGATTTCCCTGGCAAAGCAATTTCAGTTTCAATCCTGGGCATTAAAGATCACATCAGTGATTTCAAAAAGAACTATCATTGCAGCTGAGTGTGTCTTTTTATTTATATTTGGTTTTATAATTCTGAGACAAATAAAATGTTAGGAATGTAAATGTTAATATAGATAATCATTCCCTTTCCTACAAATTAGATTTCCTGCTCTTATTTTTAGATGACAAAGTTGTTAACTATTCATTATGAATCATCCTAACAAAGCATAACATTAATGGAAAGTAAAATCTACCAAATTATTTTGTCTTAGCATCAAAACTCCATGACATAATTTATTCTTCTGTAGTTAACTGTAATTTTTAAATTCCGCAGACATCTTCCTGAACTAAAAATATACTCACATACTTGTCTTTTGTCCCTAGGCATGTCATTGATATTCAATCTTTTTATGTGTCATCTTCCCTTTCACTTTATGTTTTAAATGACTCACTGTTCCTCTGAGCAGAAGCCAGGAGATTTTTTTCAGGTTCAGGAGTCCAATACTTAAGCTGTCCTCTGCTATTTTCCCAAATGCACCAGCAGGCAGCTTGATCTGAAGTGGAGAAGCCAGGACTCGAATTGGCACCCTTATGGGTTTCCCTTTCTGTAGGCAGTGGTTTAACATGCTATGCCCAGAGCATCGGAACCAAATTTAAGTCATAATTTGATATTAAATCATATTTTCCCAATAGTTATGAGCAGTTCAATCATTACTTTTCATTAAATATTTGTTCCTTTATTGACTTATAAATCAAATAACGTATTTAAAAAATACAAAAGAAAAAATTTTTATTATAGACTAATTTGCTGTTGGTTATTTGTTTAATTGAACTCTAGAATCATTTACAATGTTGGTGATATTTTCAGACTATTAGAAAATATTTATGATTTTTAAAATTTAGTGTGACACCTATGAATATATGTCTATTTATTAAAATATTTCCGTATCTATGACATTTACTTCAAAAGGGCTGTGTGTTGACAAAAATAGCTGATTCTATTAAAACAAAAAAGGACAGGTCCAGCATGGTGAGTAGCAAGCTAATCTTCCACCTGCATCACCAGTATACCATATGGCTGCCAGTTTGTGTCCTGGTTACTCCACTTCCTATCTAGCCTCTTGCTTGTGGCCTTGGAAAGCAGCAGTTCTTTTTTTTAAATATCTCCTGTCACAACTTTTTCTTGACTGTGTTTCTGTCTCTCTCTCTCTCTTTGATTTCTCTCATTTTGAATCTTTCCAAGGAGTATTTCTGAAAGGTTTGACAATCTTCCTGAACACAAGTAAGGGGGACAATAACAATGAACACACTGATATTTTCCAAACTTCTTTTCAAAAAAAAAAAAAAACCACTATATTTTGCCCTTTCTTGTGAATTACTCACAGAATTTTACTTGTTCTGTTTAAGACAAGCTGTGTTTCAATATTTTGTATCAAAATCTATAATGAATTTAACAGGCTAACAAATTCGACTCTTGAATTGACCACTTGCCTTCACTTGGTAGTTAATGAACAACTCAGCTTCTCCGTGAGTTAATAATCATAGCTTTAACTGATGTAATCTTTCACAGTGTGAACATAAATTCAAGAAAATTAAAAACTACTCTTTAATGTATTATACTGCAATGTCAACTAATCATGTATTATTAAATATTTGAGTTTCCAAGCATGGTGGTAACTCTGTACATGAATAGCTCTAGGTAGAAATGTAAGTAGTTACTGCATACATTAGTTTGTGGAATTTAGTAAGTTCTCCAAAACAGTTTCTACTGTTATTATTAGTATCACTACTTCTAATTTAAAAAACTGTGGTGACATTGTAATCTACAAGGATTTTGATAAGCATCCCTTGTATAACAATTTGGACAGGACATTTTGCAAGATAATTGTCAAGGTGATAAATTCTCTAGGTGACAATTTCCAGAAGAGAAGATTTGAAGAGGTATTAATTTATTTAAAGAGGTTTATGTAATAGTGATACCAACAACTTCAAATGAAAATATAGAATCTCAAACATAATAAAGTTCAAAATATCCTCTATAATTCTATTTCTATCCCTCTCTATGCTAAACCTTTTATCCCTCTTTAATCATTTCTTCTTTGGTGTCATGAGCTTACCTCACTTTTCAAGGGTTCACTTAAAGTAACTTGAAAAATATCTCAACAGAATAAAATTATATGTTGAGGCAGCATGGGGAGTGGAATGCAATATGGCTTCAATGAAAGAAACAAAAGAAGGACAATTTCCAATTGCTAAGACGAGCACAGTCGTTTATTTTTTATTTGAATCTGGTAAATATCAAGTTATTCTTGTATTTGTAGTTTTTAGAACATTTTAATGCATGATTTAAGAGTAATAGTTTAAAACGTCAGTAGTTAACATGTGCCCCAAAATTCACACATTGCATTTGAGCTGTCTGTTGAAATAGATAAAGTTCATGCAAATTATTATGCAGAAGATGTCAAAAATACAGAAAATACTACTTTGCACTGGAGTATGCCATTCATCTCTGCACATCCTCTGCCACATGGAACTCACTTTAAATAAGTTTATCAAGAAGCATGCATATAATTTTCTTTAAAAAAAAGTTATTTCACATTTTGCATTGCAGAATGCATTTGTGAGCAAATAACCCCTTTTTGCATACCTGACTTAAATAAAGGAGGAAAGTATGGATTTGAAATACTATGATTTGATAGTACAAATTAGGTTTGTAGTTACAAGCAAATACAAATAAAGCTTTATTTTATTTTATTTTTTTAATTGGAAAGTCAGATATGTAGAGAGGATGAGAGACAGAGTAGAAGAACTTCCATCAGCTGATTCTCCAAGGGGCCACAAAGACAAGAGCTGAGTCCATCCGAAACCAGGAGCAGGGGTCTCTTCCAGATGTTCCACATGGGTGCAGGGCCCCAAAGCTTTGGGCCATCCTTGACTGATTTCCCAGGCCACGAGTAAGGAGTTGGATGGGAAGCTGTGCTGCCAGGGTTAGAACCAGTGCCCATATGCGATCCCAGTGTGTGCAAGGCAAGGACACTAGCTGCTAGGTACCACACCTGGCCCCAAATATTATTGAGCTGAAGATACCAGAAGGGCTTCTTTCTCTCTCTCTCTCTTTTTAATTAAAATAAGAAAGTATAAGGAAATTAAGGAAAGTCCCTACTGACTTGAGCTGACCAATTCCATGTGAAATGACTATTAGCAAGTAGTTTATTTTTACTTCCGATAATGAATAACATTATACATGTCACAAAACATGAGAGATTGTCAATATTTATATTGATATAAATGTGAGAAGTCTACAGTTTTTTTTTTCCTAAGATGGACTGACTCAGAATAAGCAATCAATTGAATAGTAAATACCTAGGGAAGAAGTTTTTATCACATGTCAAAGGTTTTTCTGCGGTACGTATCATTAAGTTTCTAACCACTCAGATAAAATTAAGGCCAGGGTTCATTAGACTCCAGAACTGCATTAGTCATTGTAGTGGGAATTTCTCCTACGTAAGAAACCCTACATTAAAAAATATAAAACAAAGCAAAACAAAATACTCGTGTGATGCACTTAAAAATCTTTTCATATTTTAATTTGTTTTTCGTTCTGTCCCCAATTCCTTACCTATTCTTTCTTTTGAAGAATGCTAATTATCTTTATGGGCTTTATATCAATTTTCACAAAACATTTCCTCTTTCTCAAATACGTGACCTTGGAACAATATAGCAAAATTAAACTTTTAGTCAGGCTATCCCACAGTTATTTTGCTTTTTCAGGAAGTTCCTGCTGTGGCTAAATGGTATTCCTTTCTCAGACTGCAGTAGGTCATCACACAAAGGGAAATCCAAAGCAAATATTTACAACTTTTTTAAGATGCTAAATCTAAAACATACATGCCCACAAAAAGCAAACCTTATATTTAACAAGGAAATCAAAAGCTCTGATTCAATAAGTCCAGTAACTGGGCCTTCCTCACTGTGTATTCTGCTTTACATTTTCTTGTGGCTGCCAGGAAAGGTCTCTTTCTTTGTAGTTAAGACAATTTTTCTAATGTTTCTTTACTATTTTTGTTATATGCTGTCTTTACAGGTCAATTTTGTCTTTGGAATTTTTACTAAATAGGAAAGAATCAATTGTTTCTCTTCCAGGCGCATGTGAATGTATCCTATGTTCTCTTTGCTACCATTCTTGGGTACCGCACCTTCAAAAGTCTGTTTACAGACATTCGAAAGTATCATGTTTAAAGCTTCTTGAAACTACAAGTTTTCTGTTTGAAAACTCATTACACAAATTTAATTTTTTACCATATACTACTGCATTATTTTTTGGATGTTGAATATAG